GTTTTGGATAAATAGTTCTGCACTATTTGGTTCGATATAACGAGTTTTCGGTATATCCAGGTTTGTAACCAGTGGCGATTGTATTTCTAATTTTGTACTTTAAAGTAAAGATGACGACTATAAAAATTAAGATAAAAAAATCAGATATAAAATTCCCATGCGCTTCGCATAAACTTTTACATTTAAAAATTATAATAAAATGGATATCAAAGTACTAACCTGAGAAATGAAATAACAAAAGGAGAAAAATACCCAAACAATGACTTAAACATGAACGTGAAAGAAAGCGTCAAAAGAGAGCCAAAGAAACGGACGGAATCAGTACCAAGTGCCGAGGAACAAAAAATCAAAAAAATAATGGATTCTACTGGTGAAATTAAAGAGGAAAAGGAAGGAGGAAGGGAAGGGAAGGGAAATGAAAGAGGAAAAGGAAGGAGGAAGGAAAGGGAAGGGAGGAAAAGAACGAAGAAGGAGAGAAGAAGGAAAGAAGAGAAGAAAAAAGTGAAAAAGAAGAAAAAGAAGAGAGGGAGAATACGAGCGAAGAAGAGAGAGAAGAAGGGAGGAAAGGAGGAAAATAACGAAGAAGGAAAAGAAGAAGAGAGAAAGGAAGCGGAGGAAAGAGTTAAAATTCATCTATAAGAAGAATAGATTCTTCGTTATCGGCATCATCGAGAAATTTTTTAAGATGCAGAACTGCGGAGATCTGTAAAATTAGCAGATCTCCGCATTTTTTATATGAATTTATGCGGAAGTCTGTGATTTTGCAGATCTCCGCTTTTTAATTTTTACAAAATTTTGCAATAATCTGCGATTTTGCAGATTTCTGCTTTTTTTTATGTGAATTTATGCAAAAGTCTGCGATTTTGCAGATTTCTGCTTTTCTTTTTATGTAAATTTTTGCAGAAGTCTGCGATTTTGCAGATTTTTACTTTTATTTTTCATTAAAATATCGGTTCAATCTGCAATTTTATCATTTTGATTAACTCTACTTGATTTAATACTTTAACATTTACACAAGTAAAAACACTGTTCTACTGACATGATTGCCGGTTGAAGTATTCATATTATTACAGTCATATGCACTACCAGTAATTAGAGATGTGATCCGAAATCCGAAAATTCAAATCATCCGCATCTGGATGGATTAAGGATATCCGTTTTAATCCGAAACAGCATCCAATGATCGTACAGAGATGTATTATAGCTCATTCGAATCGTCTTAATGTTACTATTTGAATGAGCTATTGTGCATCTCTTTACGATCGTTGGATGCCGAGATACCCAAAAATTCGAAGTTAATCCGGATTATCCGGATGATAATCCGGATTGATCCGTGCGGATTACGGATTGTAAAATTTCATCTGGATCGCATCTCTACCAGTAATCATTGCCAATCGGATCATATAAACCAGAAATTAGTAAAGATTTGGCTGATCAGACTAGTCAATTATGGTTTATGTGCCGAATAATAATCTTTTTTAACTTCTAGCTTTAAAAAAAGTTTATTTTTTTCCTTCTTTTTTTTGTAGATACCAGCTTTTTGGATTCAGTTGGTAAGTTTCGAAAGTTTCATTCTTTCGAAACTTTTGTTTTTTAAAATAAAAATTAAATTTTTTTTATTTATTTTTTTAGGTATCAGCGCCCTTCACTTTGGATTGGTAAGTTTCTAAAGTTTCATTCTTTCGAAACTACTTTTTTTAAAAAAAAATTAAATTTTTTTATTTATTTTTTTTAGGTATCGGCACCCTTCACTTTGGATTGGTAAGTTTCGAAAGTTTCATTCTTCAAACTTTTGAAACTATTTTTTTAAAAAAAAAATTTAATTTTTTTTTATTTATTTTTTTAGGTATCGGCACCCTTCACTTTGAATTGGTAAGTTTCGAAAGTTTCATTCTTCAAACTTTCGAAACTATTTTTTAAAAAAAAAATTTAATTTTTTTTTATTTATTTTTTAGGTATCGGCGAGACCCTTCACGTAAGTTTCGAAAAGTTTCATTCTTAAAACTTTCAAAACTTTTGTTTTTTAAAAAAAAATTAATATTTTTTTTTATTTCTTTTTTTTAGGTATCGGCGAAACCCTTTCACATAAGTTTTGAAAGTTTCATTTTTTCAAAACTTCGTTTTTTTTTAAAAAACATTTTTTTAATATTTTTTTTATTTATTTTTTTAGATCGGTGAGACCCTTCACTTTGGATCGGTAAGTTTCAAAAGTTTTATTTAGAAACTTTTGAAACTTTGTTTGTTTTAAAAAATTAATACTTTTTTTTATTTTTTAGGTATCGGCGAGATCCTTCCAGTAAGTTTCAAGAGTTTCATTATTTTGAAACTTTAATTTTTTTTACTTCTTTTTTTTAATTTTCTTTTCTTTATTTTGTAGGTATCGGTTGGGACCTTTGGATAGGTGAGTTTCAAAAAGTTTCATTACTTTTCGAAACTTTAATTTTTTTTTAATTTTCTTTTCTTTATTTTGTAGGTCAGTATTGGTTGGAACTTTTGGAAACCTGTGGTAAGTTTCGAAAAGTTACATTAACTTTTCAAAACTTCAATTTTTTTCAATTTTTTTTTTTTATTTTGTAGGTATCGGTTGCGACCTTTAGAAACCTGTGGTAAGTTTCGAAAAGTTACATTAACTTTTTGAAACTTCAATTTTTTTTAATTTTTTTTCTTTATTTTGTAGGTATCAGTTGCTACCTTTGGAAACCTGTGGTAAGTTTCGAAAAGTTAACATTAACTTTTTGAAACTTTAATTTTTTTAATTTTCTTTTCTTTATTTTGTAGGTATCGGTTAGCATTGGTTGGAATCTTTTAGATAGGTGAGTTTCGAAAAGTTTCATTACTTTTCGAAACTTTAATTTTTTNATACGATCGTTGGATGCCGAGATACCCAAAAATTCGAAGTTAATCCGGATTATCCGGATGATAATCCGGATTGATCCGTGCGGATTACGGATTGTAAAATTTCATCTGGATCGCATCTCTACCAGTAATCATTGCCAATCGGATCATATAAACCAGAAATTAGTAAAGATTTGGCTGATCAGACTAGTCAATTATGGTTTATGTGCCGAATAATAATCTTTTTTAACTTCTAGCTTTAAAAAAAGTTTATTTTTTTCCTTCTTTTTTTTGTAGATACCAGCTTTTTGGATTCAGTTGGTAAGTTTCGAAAGTTTCATTCTTTCGAAACTTTTGTTTTTTAAAATAAAAATTAAATTTTTTTTATTTATTTTTTTAGGTATCAGCGCCCTTCACTTTGGATTGGTAAGTTTCTAAAGTTTCATTCTTTCGAAACTACTTTTTTTAAAAAAAAATTAAATTTTTTTATTTATTTTTTTTAGGTATCGGCACCCTTCACTTTGGATTGGTAAGTTTCGAAAGTTTCATTCTTCAAACTTTTGAAACTATTTTTTTAAAAAAAAAATTTAATTTTTTTTTATTTATTTTTTTAGGTATCGGCACCCTTCACTTTGAATTGGTAAGTTTCGAAAGTTTCATTCTTCAAACTTTCGAAACTATTTTTTAAAAAAAAAATTTAATTTTTTTTTATTTATTTTTTAGGTATCGGCGAGACCCTTCACGTAAGTTTCGAAAAGTTTCATTCTTAAAACTTTCAAAACTTTTGTTTTTTAAAAAAAAATTAATATTTTTTTTTATTTCTTTTTTTTAGGTATCGGCGAAACCCTTTCACATAAGTTTTGAAAGTTTCATTTTTTCAAAACTTCGTTTTTTTTTAAAAAACATTTTTTTAATATTTTTTTTATTTATTTTTTTAGATCGGTGAGACCCTTCACTTTGGATCGGTAAGTTTCAAAAGTTTTATTTAGAAACTTTTGAAACTTTGTTTGTTTTAAAAAATTAATACTTTTTTTTATTTTTTAGGTATCGGCGAGATCCTTCCAGTAAGTTTCAAGAGTTTCATTATTTTGAAACTTTAATTTTTTTTACTTCTTTTTTTTAATTTTCTTTTCTTTATTTTGTAGGTATCGGTTGCGACCTTTGGAAATCTGTGGTAAGTTTCGAAAAGTTACATTAACTTTTTGAAACTTCAATTTTTTTTAATTTTTTTTCTTTATTTTGTAGGTATCAGTTGCTACCTTTGGAAACCTGTGGTAAGTTTCGAAAAGTTAACATTAACTTTTTGAAACTTTAATTTTTTTAATTTTCTTTTCTTTATTTTGTAGGTATCGGTTAGCATTGGTTGGAATCTTTTAGATAGGTGAGTTTCGAAAAGTTTCATTACTTTTCGAAACTTTAATTTTTTTAATTTTCTTTTCTTTATTTTGTAGGTGTCAGTTGGGACCTTTGGAAACAAAACCTGTGGTAAGTTTTGAAAAGTTACATTAACTTTTCAAAACTTCAGGTATCGGTTGCGACCTTTGAATAGGTGAGTTTTGAAAAGAATTATATTAGTTCTTTTCGAAACTTCAGTAATTTTTTTGTTTTTTAATGAACTTTACTAACGTATTCTCCGTCTTTTTGTAGATCTATGGCTTCCTGGTGCTTTCTGAATTGAACTTCAAAGGTATCCTTTGAAGTTCTTTAATTTCTTTTGTTTTCTTTAATGAAATATCAACTAATATCTCATTTCTCTTTTTATACTGTAGGTCAGCAACTTTTTGGATGACATCTGGATGGAACTTTGAAAAAAAAAAATAAAGATTTTCAAGGAAATGAAATTTGTAGATCCGTGACTTCTTGGATTGCACCTGGATGGAACTTCAAAGGTATTTTTCGAAGTTTAAATGTTATTTTTTTTAATGAAATATTACTAATTAACTGAAGTTTTTACTTTTATACTTTTGGTAGGTCTACAAGTTCCTGGACGCTTCCTAAACGCAAATTTAAATAGTTGTTTGTTGGAATCGAACCAACTGGAATAATATCCAAACCATTAACAACATGTAAATTACAGTAGAATTTTAGCTATTAGTACATTAATAAAATAGTATAGTAAAGTGATAAATTTGTAATGCGTTTAATTAATAAATTGATGTTAAATAATACTAAAATAACAATCAAAATTTGTATAATTTATTATTATTTAATGATTTTTATTTTGTAAAATATGTGCAGAATTTAATAACAAAAATCTGCGCAGAACTTTGTGATTTATAAAATCTGCGCAGTTTTTTATTGGATTTTTCCTCTGATGTTTTGCGCCAGGGTATAAGATCTACGCAGATATAATTTCTGAAATTCTGCGCAGATCTGCTCCCCAAAAAATTTCCCGATGATAATATCTTGGTGATTCTTCGTTATCAGGATTGTCGTTATCAGGATAGTATCTTGGTGATTCTTCATCAATGTAATAATATTCCGCCGATTCATATTC